GTTGCAGTCTCGGTAGCCCAGTTCAGTCCATCCTCAACCCTTGCTGTAACCGGTAGCAGGCGGTGTGTGTATGTGTATGTGTTGCGGTCCCGGTAGCCCAGTTTAGTCCATCCTCACCCTTTGCTGTAACCAGTGACATGAAGTGTGTGTGTGTGTGTGTGTTGCAGTCCTAGTAACCCAGTTCATACCTTCCTCACCCTAGGTGTACCCGGCAACATGTGGTATGAGTATGTGTGAGTGTTGCCATTCCGATAGCACAGATCAGTTTTTCCTCTTTCGTGACCGGTGCCCTCCAAAAATAGTATGTGGTGACCGGGCGCCCGGGTAGGAAAGGGCACATGAGGCTAAGAGTGAGGTTGCGTCCGTCGAGCTTTCGCCGTCACCACCTCTCCTCCAACTTCGACCACCCCAAACCGTCTTCCACCTCCATCGCCTACGCCTGTCCGCCATAGCCCACCACCCCAACCCTTCTTCCACCTCCATCACCTACATCCATCCACCATAACCAACCACCCCAACCCTTCTTCCACCTCCATCACCTACACCCACCCACCATAGCCGACCACCCACGGCCTTCTTCCACCTCCATCACCTACACCCATCCACCATAGCCTACCGTCCCCCAACCCTTCTTCCACCTCCATCACCTATACCCATCCACCATAGCCGACCACCCCAACCCTTCTTCCACCTCCATCACCTACACCCGTCCACCATAGCCGACCACCCGAACCCTCCTTCTACCTCCATCACCTACACCCATCCACCATGGCCGACCACCCCAACCCTTCTTCCACCTCCATCACCTACACCCGTCCACCATAGCCGACCACGCGAACCCTCCTTCTACCTCCATCACCTACACCCATCCACCATAGCCGACCACCCCAACCCTTCTTCCACCTCCATCACCTACACCCGCCCACCATAGCCGGCCACCCGAACCCTTTTTCCACCTCCGTCACCTACACCCATCCACCATAGTCCGCCACCCCAACCCCTCTTCTACCTCCGTCACCTACACCCACCCACCATAGCCGACCACCCCAACCCTTCTTCCACCACCATCACCCACACCCATCCACCATAGCCAACCACCCCAACCCTTCTTCCACCTCCATCACCTACAACCGCCCACCATAGCCGGCCACCCCAACCCTTTTTCCACCTCCATCACCTACACCCATCCACCATAGTGGACCGTCCCCCAACCCTTCTTCCACCTGCATCACCTACACCCGTCCACCATAGCCGACCACCCCAACCCTCCTTCTACCTCCATCACCTACACCCATCCACCATAGCCGACCACCCCAACCCT